TATGTATATATATATAGAGAGAGAAAATATTTTGAAATAGATTATTATTGAATATTTAAAATTATACAATAGATATTATTTTCAATTAAAATTTTGATATTATGTAGTTAATTGCATATTGAAATGTATTTTTATTATTTCTGTGTTTCACAGGGGAACAATATTTAACAGCTTTAAATTCTCATGGATCAATGAAATTTTGTAAGAAATTCAGTTTCATGCCCGATGTTTACTTGTTACAGAGAAGGTAGTTTTTTGTTTCATTATATCATTTTATAGTATGTTTTTTTTTTTTAATATACGGTTGTTTGAGTTTTATAATGTGTACAAAATATTGGTTATAAAATTTTTAAAAATTTTTTGTAGAACACCATGGTTTCATGATTGTTTTTAATTGTTACTACAAATCAGATCGCTTTTAATTTATCATGAAACTCAACTAAATGGGCTGTACAATTGATGTTTCCTCAGTTTGTATAAATCGAGCTTTTTTTATGTAAGTTTTCTTCAAAGATTCAAATATTATTTTTGTATACAGTTTGCTCTTAATATTTATCACCTTTAAATATATTTGAAAACCGAGTAACTTGTTTGTAGTTAAAAATATTTAGATTACATTTTTTGTTATTTATTCTTTAGTGATTATCATGTTATATAATATTTCGCCATTAAAATTAAAAATTTTTTAAATAGCAGTTACAGCTAATTTGAACAATATATTTTCCATTTAATTAACTGTTCTATGTAAAGTTCACAATTTTACAACATTGAAATTCTCTTAAATATTTTTGAGTTCAAAGGTAGTATTTTTTATGTTTTCTAGCCATAAAATTACATTACTTCCAAATGTAATATCAATTACTGTCTAATGTATGTTTTTATTTAGAAAGTAAATTCTGTTAATTTTTAAAATTAAATTTGAATGTTTGTTATCTATTAACGGTTATTTTTATGGACATTAATTTTATAGAGGCATCAAAGGAATCCTTACCTTACTATCAGAACAAGGTAATTTAGCATGCTGTTATTTAGGAACAGAACCTTCCTTGTTTGTATCACCTTTATCAGAACCCCAAGAAATTGATTTCAAAGCTGCAGAGCAAGAAATGGAAGAGATTAAAGAAAATAATCAAATCATCAAATCAAAGTGAGAAGGAGTACTGAAAAGAATTATATGCATGAAATTCAGTAAACATATTTATTAAGCATTTTTATCAACATTTACAAAAACTGAATTTAAAAAAATATTATATTTTAAAAAGAATAAAAATGGTATTGCCTTATGATTTTTTGTGAATTATATTTATATTTATTTTCTGATTCTTTTTGCTCTTATGAAGTTCCTTTTCTATTAAACTACATAATTTATTTTGCTATTTCTTCCATATCTTCTTGTAAACTTGTTTCATTGATTTTTTTCTTACAGATTTACTTGAACTCAAAAACTAGGAAATGAAATTGCTCTTTCAATACACATTTCACATCATTTAAATCCCTACAGATGTAAGTTATAATTTAATTAATTATTTTCTTTTTTCTGTCTTGTATTCTAGAAGTATGTAGTTACATTTATTTATTATGATAGGTGACTGAATGCAGGGATTCAGCTGGAAAATCTATGGGGGTCGTTCCTTCAATTCCTATAAAAGTTTGTAGAAGTCTTTTAGTATAATTTATAAACCATTATATTTTCACTATACCTTTTCTTGTAATAGTTTTTTAACTTGCATAATGAATGTAAAAACGCAACTTTAAATTTTGCATCTTTTAAATGTTTTTCTTTTTTAACCATTTATTGGTACCATAAACAGCTAGCAGGCAAGTTCCACTGAGTTAAATTTTGCTAGTGTCATTATTTTTAAAAGCGAGTATACTTGTTGTTTGTAACAAATTGTCTTACATCAACTCAGTCTGTTTCTGTGACTTTTACCCCTATAGTCTTTGTGGTATGATTTACTTCCACATCCCTTCACATGTGAGAGCCTGGAATTGTATTCCTTTAATTAAATTGCCAACAGATTAGTAGGTTTGTAGGTTAAATATTGAAAGAGAAAATCCCCCCAGCCCCTCCAACAAATAGGACTAAAATAATATTTAATCAACTTCTAGTAAATTCAAACATGACATTAAAAAAAAATATATCATTTGATTATTCAATTTTTGTTAGAAAGAAATATTTACAAAATTTTTCTTGACAAGTTTCTTTAATTTTACTAATATTAATTATACATGAATTCTATCATTTAAGAAAATTTGTATTCAAATGAATTTTAAATCCTTTTAGTGGATAATTAATTTTATTTTTACCTTAGAGAAATTTTAAATGAATTAGAATATAAATGAATGACATACAATCTTGTTAAAATCTATAATTATGTTATTAGCATTTTTTCTTTATTCATATATTTAAACTGAGTAATCTTTATGAACCATTTACTTTTTCTAATTAGTTTTTAAACCAATTTGCTATGAACTATATTATTATTTGCTTCTTTTTATAACATATAGAAATAGTTAGATTAAAATATAATATTGATTATATTATTTTGACTATAATGTCATAGAAAAAAATATGAAATTTTTTAGTAAAATTATCTGAATTAAGAATATCTATATATGATAACTAATAAAAACTTATTAAATATTTCATTTGTTTTTTAAATTTCTGCACTCGATTTATTTTTCACTAAGCATATCCAATTTTGATTGCTGTAAATATTAGCTTATTCTCTTTGAGCTGTTGATTAAAAGATGATTCTTTGCTTTTCAGGTTAATCTAAAGTGTAGATCTGCTATTCATGATGTGAGGCTTATGATACATGTAGAATCACCCTTAAGAGTTTCTCAAAATGTTTTTGTCTTTGGTTCTGTAATGGATGGTTCTCAAGCCATTGCCAATGTTTCTCTTGAATTTCCTTTTATTCCTTCAAGCTTAAAAGTTACTGCACACGCTGCATATACAAATAATTATGGTACAAGAATTTGCATTTTAAATGTAGAACGTTTTCTTGCTTTATTTATTTGGGGAAAAATTATCTTTTTTTTTAACACATTTACAGCAAGTTTAGCAATTCTTTTAGTAAACACTATTTGGTTTTTATTAAAGATTTAGTTATATAAATTATAAATTTAATACATTATATTTATATAAATGGAATTGATTTATATTTCATTCATTTTTTATTTTATTTATCCATTTGTCTTAAATTGTAGTGTTATTTTAAATTACGTCAAATGTTCTTATTTATTTTTCATATATAGTTGATTTTTCACATGTTAGTTTATATACACATATACAGTTCAGTTTTATATCATTTTTAAAAATGTTACTAATTAAATTTAAGATGTTTTACAATTGTAAAATTTAAAAAAATAATTTCACTTTATGAATTCTATATTATATTTTTGTATAATTTATAAAGATAACTTTTTGTTTTTTTACTATGATTTTAAAAAATAATAAAATTTTTAAATGTATATAAATGCTTTATTTTTAAAAGAAATAAACCAAAAAATTAAATAAAATATCAAATATAATAAGAAAAATGTTATAATTTTGAAATCTTAAAAAGCTTTAAATCAAATGTAAATAAAAATTATTTATTAAAATAAGATATGCAGTTTATTAAACACCTTGCTTAGAATTGGAAATATGCAATTGATTATATGAAATATAATCTGCTTTTAAAATATAACATAATAATTAAAAAAATCATATAAATAAAAAAAAGCCAATTATTGCCTTAACATGTAATCAGCTGTAGATGCTTTAAATATGATTGCCTATTAATAATAAAAATTGATTAGCACAGTAAATATTATGAAGTAAATTTTAATGTTTTTTATTTTATTGATTTACATGTTTCTGTAGGAGCTCCTAGAGTTATTGATGCAAGTGCTTTGCTACCCTTTAGCTCAATAGCTAAACCTTGCCCTCCTGTCAAAGAAGCAGAAGTGAAAATCCTGATAGATATCAATAAAAAGCCACTTTTATTAAATGAATTGTTTCCAGGTGAGTAAATTTATTTTAAAATGAATTTTAATTATTCAAACACTCAAGAATATCCTGTTAATACACTGGTAGAAAATGAAATTCCAGCTCCAAAAGAATTAACTTAGAGGAATTGAAATGTAGAAACAGCATGTATCTAAGTAACATATTTATTTGATTAAAGTTTCAAGGTCACAGGTTAAAGTATGTGCGAGAAGAGCTATTTCAAATATGAAATAGTACATAAATAATAACTGTAGATTCCACGATTTTGAATGCATTATGTCGAACAGGTGCCTTATGTCATTTTGTGGGAAGGAGTTTCGTGCCTGTTGCACTTAATCGATCAAATCAGCAATGGCCTCTGCTGGTTGGGAATGACGCTGAATTTGTCATCCAACAATGTCCCATTTCTGGTGTTCTTGCAGGTCAAAGCTACATATCAACGCTGTGTAGAGCACGTTGGGGGACAGAAGTGGTATGGTGACGGTCGTTATTTTGTTGGAAACGAGAGTTCTGCTGTCATAGGAAATTGTCCCTCTGACCATAACTCCTTGTGTAGGCTTTCATCTGATGACACAAAATTCACCACTCCCCCTCCATTGAGCTCTAGGTTGACACCACTGAAAATGCAAATAGCGGGGATGTGAAGTTAGTGGCTTAAACACTACAGGACGTCTGGCTCGGAGCTGTCCCTCAAGTAATCGATTCACTGTGACATTGTGGTACCGACAGAAGTTTGGATGCCGCAGGCCTGTCACCTTCCTACCTGAATGAACGAGTTTACAGTGTTCGTGTCGCACACCCAAGGAAGAAGAGATCAAACACTCACTAACACGGAACACTCTTGGACGGCATGGTGAAAGTTCATGTACTCCACTTTTGAGTTACAATAACACACGATACCGGTTCGAGTGGGCATGTGCACTGAGCTTTTGAACATTCGCTTCCAGGGGCGCAACATGGGCACAGTTCCCTTTTCGCCCCCAATTTTTTTGAATGCCAATAGCGCGGCGTGTTCTTAGTTGATCACTATCCCAAGTATTGACCGCGCCCGATAATGCTTGACTTCGGTGATCAAACGAGAACTGGCGTATTCCGCATGGTATATGACCTTTCTCTAAAAATGACAACAGAAGCTTGAATTTTTGCTGCAGGTTCAGTACGATGCGCTACAAACATGCGGCGAATACGGCGTTTGCCCTCTCAGTAAGAGCTCGTGTGTGGCCTTACTCCAGTCTTCTTCAGGCAGTACCTTCCGTGGCCACTGCTGCGGCCAACAATCATGCACAGTAGATACAACCCTGCCATGTCTTTCTGCAATATCACGAAAAGAAAAATTCACCCACTCGTTCACTCTACTGCTTGGGAAAAATTCATCTACTTTAAAAGGATTTTCCCAAGAAGGGGGCCAAACGGCCGAGTTCAAATTCAGTAAAGCTTCTGGTATTGCCTTCTTCATTTCTTTAAAGAAATTCTTGATTCATATCTAGCTCACGTCATTCATTCTGAAAAATGAATAATGTTTATAAAGTTTACATCTCATATTTAAAGCAAATGTGATTTTAATGTTACTATCGCACTCTTATTCGTCTACCCCAGGGGTCGACAACCTTTTGAGTCGGAAGAGTAAAAAATTACAATTTACAAAATTTCAAAGTTTTTAAAGAGCCACAAAATTTTTTCTTGCCAACAATAAATAGTACTCGCATAAATAAAGTTTTTTGCTAAAAAAAAAAAAAACCGATCTATTTATTTATAAGAAAAAGAATCTATTTATTCTTATATAAGTAGTGTTTTTCACAACAAATTAGATAATATATATATATATATATATATATATATGGCATTATTCGATAATTACTTATTATTTAAGTAAAAAATTAAAACAATTAAACATTTACTTACAACACTAACTTGTACTTCAATAACAAACAATTGAGCAAACAAATTCAATGGGAGCGATTGCTTTGCATGGTTATTCAAGTAGAAAATTTAAACTTTACTAAACAATGTAACTTGTACTTAAAATAAAAAAAAATAATAAGTAATTATTTTGAGCAAACAAATTCAATGGGAGCGTTGGCTTTGCATGGTTTTAGAGAGTTTGGATAAATTTGGCTCATAACTTGTTGTTTTAAGTTTCAAACACGACTCTAAATTTTCATTTGTTAGTTGGCTTCTTACTTTACTTTTAATTATATTCATGCAAGAGAACGCTTGCTCGCACGAATATGTCGATCCGAAGATAGTCAGCACTCCAAATGCCAACTTCTTCACCTCACTGTAGCAATCTGGAAGACTATTCCATGCGTCGAATATAAGTGCCTCAACTCGCGGCATTTCTTTTAAAGCTGTCCACTTTTGTTGCGTTACGTACATGCATTTCTGGACCTCCAACTCTTCCAACTTGCTCTTCAACTCTGTAAATTTTCCACTCCACAAAGCTTTACTTTTTAAATCGATCAATTGCATTTCTAGAGATCCAGTATCAATTCCAAATGGCTCAATGTGGATTTCGTTACTATTTGTGTTGAGCGGATTTACTATGAATGCTAGAGTGGTTTTGTTGGTTTTGAATTGCTGAAATCTGTCAGCAAATTCATTTTTAATTTTTTTTATAACTACGCTGAAGTACCTCGTGTCAACAGTTGCACTGGTTTTATCGCGATATTGCTTTAGAAATTGAAAATGAAGTAATTTACCGCTCTGAATATATTCGGCAAAAAGTATTAATTTTTTCTTCAAAATAAACCAATTCTTCTACCAAAACATAGGCCGGGTTTCCCTTTACTTTCAATTTTAGATTCAGCTTATTAAATTTCGCTGTGATATCCACCATAAAGTAAAAATTTTTGCAACCATTTGTCGTTCTCTAATTCAGGGTGATTAATGCCTTTTTCATATAGGAATGTATTTATTTCATTCAAGCACAAAGCAAAACGTTTCAACACCTTACCTTTGAAAAGCCATCGCACTTTATTGTGAAGAAGGAGGTCGGAATACTGAGTCTTCATTTCGTTTAAGAATTCTTTAAACTGACGATGGTAGAGTGCTTTTGACAAGATGCTGTTAACAATCTTGATTACCAAATTCATGACCTCAACTATTTCGGCCGGAAATGTTTGGGCACAAAGCGCTTCTTGATGTATTATGCAGTGAAACGTAAGAATTTCGTGGTTTATTTTGCTCGGAAGAATCGTTCTTGCCCCTTTATTTTTTCCTGTCATACTTCTGGCTCCATCAGTTGCTATGTTGTAGTTAGATATCTTATTTGGAAAAAAATATGTATAATATGTATTTTAAAAATATAATACTTATTATGTTACCTACCTTTACTTCGGTTTTTTTTATTATTATTATTATTATATATATATGTACATACATAAATTTGAGAAGATAATTCGCTTCTAACTCTTTTACTTGAAACAACAAACTATACGTCACAGCCAAAGCATGGAGGAAGACGCCAAATTGTCTTGCGTCGAAAGCGAATTAAAACCTACATAGAAACATCCGACGACGGATGGCTATTCCCTAAACTCCAGAGACCACTCCGGGGACACCGTTTTGAGTCGATTGAAGAGATTCAACGTCAATCGCGGAGCACTTTGAAGGCCATCCCTGACAATGACATTTTAGCATGCATTGAGGATTGGAAAAGTTGACGCGTTGAAGACGAAGAGCCCTCTGGTCGACCATCAACCTCAACCGACGATGCTCACGTCCAACAAATTAAAGATTTGGTGCTTGTAAACCGTCTATTTACAATTAGAGACCTTGCTGATGATGTCTTAATTTCAAAAGGATCGGTCAATTCCATTTTGGACCTCAAACTCGTCAAATCTCGATTGGTATCAAAAACACTTAATGCGCCCGCTTCCATTGCATTGATTCTTCGTGACTTTTTCGCCAAAAATGAAACCCATATTGTTCCAAAACCACCGTATTCACACCGTGCGACTTCTGGCTATTCTATAAACTAAAAAGACCACTCTAGGGACACCGTTTTGAATGGATTGAAGTTGGCAAAAGTGCATTGTGTCCGGAGGTGATTACTTTGAAAGCGATGAAATAAATTTGGAGGAATAAATAAAGAGTTTTTGAAAAAAAAAAAAAAAATTGGTCTTACTTTTTGGGCACAGTAGTAGGCTGTCAAAACAATTTTGATACTCAATAATAAAAAATATATATGTAAATATATATAATAAAAAGGAAAGAAAATTTTATTTAATAGAAATAATTATAAATGGGAATGTAATTTAGATTAAATCTGTTCATTTATGTTTAATACTTTGCTATTTTATTATAGCATAAATATTAATATTTAAATTGAATTTTTCTTTTTATTTCGTTGTATTTGTTTTGAAATACAATGCTGATCTTTTGACATTTCATTTATTTATATTGAAATATAGAAAAATAATAGAAAAAGGATATTAATTCAGTAATATTTTTTACTAATATCAAACATTAATTATTGTTATTATATTGTGATTTGTAATAATTGTTTTGGCAATACTTTGTATTTGATGGAAAAATCGCATTTGATGTTGTAACATAATAAATTTATTTAAAATTTAATTTTATTATAGTTTGTGTTTATAATTTTCTAAATTTTATTACTGTAATAGTTTTATGTTTTTTTCTCATACATATGTTTATATTTTTACAGTAGTAGTATTTTTGTCATTTATTTTTCATATTTAATTTGCTCAAGATATGTTTATGGATGGCACATCTTATCCTGGAGGAGCTTTGGGTATTGAATATTATTCTGGACATGTTGTTACTATTATACCATCTAAAACTGCTCGTAAGTTTCGCATTGCATTTAAGAAATATAAATTGTCTGTAATCAATTAGTTGAATTTAAACAAGCATTTATACTTATTGAACATAGTAATTATCATGTTTCTTATATTTTTATTTAAAGCATAGTAATTAAAACTCTAATAGTATTTAATAATTGTACAATTTATTCATACTCTCAGCCATGTAATATAGAAGATAGGTATTTTTTTAGAATGTTCATTTTAATAAGTTTTATAAACATATTTTTGCTTAAATTAATTTTACAAATTTTCCTGAGCTGTTTTATAATTAACTAAATTTTAAAGTTAAACATATCTATATAAAATGAATGATATTTTTTTGTCGTAATAAGCTATTTCTTAAATTTATACTGTCAGCAATATTATTTATCATCATTATATTAATAATTTAAATTCCTTAAACCTATTGGAGGAATTGCATTGAAATTATTTTGTTTTTTATTGCATTTTGTAATTTTCAAAAAATGCTTCGGTAAATAAAATTAGAACTTTCACATAAATCATTTAGAATCAGAATTAGTTGAATTTTGTAATTTATTTTGTACAAATTTGAATTTGAAATAATCTATCAAAATTCCTTTCAAGAACGTTACAGGATACAAAGTGATCAACTTTCTTCTTTGTGGTTAGTTGTTTCTGAATTAGTTCGAAGACTTCAGCATAAATTTCGAAAAGAACCTGATAATTCAAAGCTAATATGTGGTTTTAATTCTTCACTCCCATTGCAAGAATATTTCAAAATTATTGAAGAGCACTTTACAGTAAGTATTTTCTGTGTATAATAAAATTCAGTTAAGTGTAATTACCTGTCAATAAAATGAGAGATTTAGTTTGTTACAAACATTTTATTTTATTTTATTTCAATAATTTCAATTTGATTATTATTTATGATAACACTGATGTGTAAAACTTGAACAATGACTGCTTTTTTTTTTTTTGCCATAACTACACAAGAAATGGTAGACATATATTTAGAATATAAAAACAGTATTTGTATGTAAGGATGCTAAAGGCATACTAATGCAAAGTGAATAGGAAGTGTACAGTATGGAATTTATACAAAAAGGCTTTATCAAAAGAGTAGCATTGATACAAATGCTTGTCCTCCCAAAAGGGTGAACAAAGTAAGGGATATGACCTCCTTTAACTGCGATGTTTTCTTGGAGCTATATCTCTTTACTCAACAGCTGTTGAGTAAAGAATGCACGTTCCTCAGTTTTAAAATTTCTCAAATTAAAAATTTTTTTTTTTTTCAATTTCTCAATTTTTTTCAA